CGAGCTAAATGTTGCAGGTTCAAATTTAAAAGACATGACTTAACGCCATTTTATTCTCAAAGGGAAGGCAATACTATTTCAAATAAAAACGTGGAAGAAACAAAGTTTTTACAAAATAAACGCTTTACGTCTGCGTAGGAAGATAAATTACATCCAATAGCAAGCGTTCTGATCAGGCGGTTTTTAGGAACATGGAACCACCTCTTAATTGCTGGGGTGGTAGTACCTGTTAGGGTTCTAGCTATGGGCAAATAGTTAATACCCAAACTGGGGTGAAAATACTATGAAAATGTAAAAATAGGTTTTAATACCAGCAATACATTTTTGGAAAAAAAATATTACCAGCAATGCAATTTTGAAGGAAAAATATTGTCAGCAATAAATATCTTGCCGGCATTAAATAACCCATTGAGGTTGATATACCGTAAACCAAACCAAACCAAAACTTTACGTCTGACGATATCTGGAACTGAAATAGTGTTACTATAAGATACAAAAGAGTCCTTTTCTCGCAGTAAAGTTAGCATTAACTTCTGTTCTGATATTGGCATTTCGTTAGTAAATGCTCATCTATTATACATCTCATAGCCTAATTCTGTCATTAACGACTGCATTACTTCTTCTTGGCAATCAACTTTTAGTTCATTTGCATATTAGTTACACACACACACACACACACACACACACACACACACACACATATATATATATATATATATATATATATATATATATATATATGCATGTTGCATCTATCTATCTACACTGCGTGCCAAATTATTATCGAGGTAACGTTTTCCATAATATTTCAAAAACCGTCCAATCAATTCACACAAATTTTTCACACAATGTTGGCAACACTGACCTGCGCAATCACTGAAATTTTCGACCTGATCTGCGCAATGTAAACAACCTGGCGCCATATTCGTTATCAGCATGGTGATTTGAGCGTGCCAAATTATTTGAAAAGTGTAAGAATTTAGTAAAAAGATGGACCATAAAAGCAGTTTAAGTAATGCTAAAGAGAAAACTATCACCTCAGAACTCTCAAAAGGTAAATCTACCCTAGATATGTTTAAAATGATAGGGAGGTGTCATCAAACAGCGAAAAATTTCACCGCCGACCCTACACAAGTACGCAAAAGGGCAGATAAAGGCAAGCCAAGGGTTATTTGACGTCGTCTCATATTATAAAACTGTTTCATGCTAGACGCAATCGTCTTACATACGCTCTATCTCTGATATTGAGCACTCTATCTCATAAATATAGCACACCTTAAAACTATATATCTTTATATATATATATATATATGTATGTGTATGTGTGTGTGTGTGTTAATTTTATATAACCTCTTTTCTTTAAGGCTAATACCTTCCACCTTCGCCTTACCACCGACTCGGGCATTTCGTCTTATTGAAACATCGAAATGGATAAATTATGTATTAATTTTGCGGCTGCTGCCAAAGTTGAATTTTTAATTGCGACACGAACACGGTCTATACACCGGAGTTGAATAAGACTGACGTACTTCTCGGCGGTTGAAATAGATCTATACACCCCACCCGCCTCCATATGAGGTAATTTCGGTTTTTCTTACACACACACACACACACACACACACACACACACACACACACATATATGGAAAAGTGGAGACCAGTGGAAAAACTATATTTAACGGACTCGTTTCGTCGTCCAAGAATCTTTATCAATGGTCATTGCCTTGATAAAATTCATCAGAGGACGAAAACGCGTCGGCTTAGTATAGTTTTTATTCTTGTCTCTTTATTTATTTTGTCTCTTCTACAAATACGATCCATCCGAAAAAAAAAAAAAAAATATATATATATATATATATATATATATAAATGAATTTAAAAGTTTTAAATAATTACAACAGACCGCGTTCACGCCTTTAAAAAAAAAAATAAACACCACCCAAATGATTACGGTTAGAATAAGTTTGTCTTTGTAATTCAACTCTTAGGATGTGGGAGATCGAAATTACTTCGGTAGGAAAAAGTTACAGCGCCTTCCTTGTGGAATTTCGTCTTAACACCAAGTGGAAAGTTGAAAAAGTTTACTTCTAATGCGTTTTGTTCTTCAGAACTTCATCGGACTAAATTTCTTATGCTTGTAGAATTACACATGTGCACGACAAAGGGATCCTGGGAATTTTAGATTTTTTTTTATCTAGCTGAATTCATTTAGAGTCTTTTTCTTTTTCTTTTGTCTTTCCATCACTTTTTTAAGTAGGTATTCCACAAAGTGATATTAGAAGATCTACCATGAATGGTGAAATGTTTTAATAGCCAAGGCGTAAATTTACTGCAGATGACCTTGCGATTAAGAAACTCTGTAGACTTAAGGAACGTCATAGTGAATTATTTTTTCCTTTGATCAGAGTAGTATTTTTTAATGCAAAATTGTACATAATCACTGCTACTATAGGAGCCAACAACGAAAATACATTACTACTGAGAAACCTAAAAGAACCTA